ATAGGTCTATAGTTGGCTAAAACCTCTGGATCGAGGTTGTGCTTTTTAAGAAGCGGTTTTATCACTGCTACTTTGAATGATTGTGGAACATAGCCTGATAATAAAGACATATTCATAATATTTAATAAAGAAGTGCTAAATAATGGAAAAACGTCCTTTAACAGCTTAGTTGGAATCGGGTCTAAGATACACGTTGATGGTTTAGAAGAGAGAATCATTGAATTTAATTGTTCAAGGTTTATGGCTGAAAAGCATTCTAATTTACTATCTAGTGTAATATTAGAACTTACGTTTCCGGGAGCTGTTGATAACACTATACTGGTCAAAGGCAAGAGGTCATTAATTTGGTTTCTAATAGTAACAATTTTATCGTTAAAAAAGCACATAAAATCATTACTACTGAGTGCTATGGGAATAGAAGGCTCAATAGAGCTGTGGCTCTCTCTCTCTGGCTGTCAGCCTGGCTACAGTGCTGAAAAGAAATCTTGCATTATTCTTATTCTCATCTATTATTGAAGAGTAGTAAGCTGCTCTCGCTTTACGCAGTGCTTTCTTATATTCATTGAGAGTAATATGCCAAATTAAACGAGATTCTTCAAGTTTAGTGGAACGCCATATCCTTTCAAGTTGTCTCAACTTTTGCTTTATTTTGCGGGTTTCGGCATTATGCCATGGAGCTAGTCTATGTTGTTTTATTTTCTTCTTTTTCAAAGGAGCAACAGAGTCTAATTTTATTCGCAGCACATCTGTAGCACTATCACAATATGATCAATTTGGGGTGGTGTACATTTTGTATAAGTTTCCTCCCTTACATGCAGACATGCTATCGAGTTAAGTATTGGTGGAATCTCTTCCTTAAATTTGGCTATCGCACTAACAGATAGGTTTCTGCTGCAGGAACTTTTGACTAATGGTTTGTAGTCTAGTAACAGTACTTCAAAAGTTACTAAGAAATGGTCGGATAAAGCAGGATTATGCGGTTCGACCAATAGTTGCTCAATTTCAATACCATAAATCAGAACAAGGTCGAGAGTGTGATTATAACAGTGGGTTGGTTTATTTACACTCTGACGGAAACCAACAGAATCTAATATAGAGTTAAATGCAACAGTAAGGCTATTTTTATCATCGTCAACATGAATATTAAAGTCACCTACGATAATTACTTTATCTGTTTTAAGTACCAAAGTTGATAAAAACTCAGAGAATTCTGATAAGAATTCTGAATAAGGACCTGGTGCACGGTACACTGTAACAAATAAGATTGGCTGCAAAGTTTTCCAGGTCGGATGCGTAAGACTAAAAACAAGACTTTCAAAGGAGGTATAATTTAATTTTGGTTTAGTATTGATAAGTAAATTTGAGTCAAAGATGGCTGCAACTCCACCTCCTCGGCCTGTGCCTCGAGCAATATGAGTATTGGTATGGCTGGGTGGAGTGGCCTCATTTATGCTGACATATTCTTCATGTCTCAACCAAGTTTCAGTGAGACAGGATATATCAATATTATAATCTGATATTAAATAATTTACCAATATTGCTTTAGATGCTAGAGATCTTATGTTTAAGAGACCACATTTAATCTTCCTGTTTTGTTGCACTGTAGTAGTTGTTACATTTACTTTTATTAGGTTATTATGTATGACACCTCTATTAGGTTTTACCTTAAATTGTCCTTGGGCAGACACACACACCGTTAATATTGGGTATTTTATTGGGTTCGGAATTCCTATGGATGACTGCCCAGGAGAGAGCGCAGAGAAGCGTGTAAGACTGCGACTCCGTCTCCTGGTCTCAACTCCAGTTTGTCATGGATTACGTCCACAAAGCCCTGAAATGTTTGCCGAAATGAGATTTGCACCTTCCAAAGTAGGATGAATGCCGTCTCTCTTAATTAGACCAGGTTTTCCCCAGAAGGCTGTCCAATTATTTACGAAGCCCACATCGTTTGCTGGGCACCACCAAGACAACCAGCGCTGAAATGATGACATGCGGCTATACATGTCGTCATTGATCAGATTGGGGAGGGGACCAGAGAAAATTACGGTGTCCGACATTGTTTTAGCATAACTACACACTGACGCCACATTAACTTTGGTGCATTCTGATTGGCGTAAACGAACATCATTACCACTGACGTGAATAACAATCCTACTGTATTTACGTTTATTTTTAGCCAGTAGTTTAAGATGCGCCTCAACGTCGCCCGCTCTGGCCCCCGGAATGCATGTGACTGTGGAGGCTTTGGTCTCTAAGTTCACGTGTCTCATAACAGAGCTACCAATAACCAGAGTTGGCTTCTCAGCGGGTGCCTCGCTGAGTGGGGAATATCTGTTAGATACGTGAACGGGTTGGTGGGGACCTGCGGGTTTCGCGTTATGCCCCTTCTGAACAGTCACCCAGTCTCCCTGCTGCTCGGGAGTTGTCGGGGGACGGCTAGTAGGAGCTACCTTTTGCCGGTCCGCACCGACTAAGATGGGCTTTACTGTAGCTGAGTTACTTTCTAAAATGCGGAGCCGGGCTTCTATGGCTATGATTCCCGCCTCCAACCTAACAACTATACTACATTTAACACATGTATCGGTACCAGTAAAGGAGGTAGGGGAATAACCAAACATGAGACAGGTAGAGCAGGAAATAGCACCGGATGGTAGGGAAAGAGCCATCTATCAAGCTAAAGTAGCTACCGTTAGCAAACCCGAAAAGAGTGTAGGCAACTGTGGAGTTACAGTCGCTAAGAAAAGGAGAGTTGTGAGTGCTTAATCTGTAGTAACATGTGATTACAACGTCAGGCAGTTGCCGTGAACAAGAGTTTTAAAACGATCGATTTAGCAGCAGCAGAACAGGCACACAGGATACCCGGAGGTGACAACAACAACCGGAAGTTACAACACGCTTACCGCAATAGTGAGGGTCCGTTTATAAATGGTTCTTAATGATTAATAAAGTGTTTACAACCTAATTCATAACCTAATTATAAACCCTTTATGAATCCTTTATAAGGGTAGTCTTATTGTAAAGTGGTACCAATTACTTTGTGTCATTTTTATAATAATTTCAGCTGAACTATCACACATGCTAGCAATACATTTCAAAGGTGTTAATCTCAATTGGAAGAGAAACATGTTAAAACTGTTCCATCTCAATACGAAAAACACAGTCTAACTCAATGAACAAACACCTATACCATTTCCAGTTTTTTAAACAGATAGTAGCAATGTTAAAATATTCTTTGTACATAAATGCTTATTTGTATGTCTGTTTTGTGTCTGTGTGTCTGTCGATTGTTCCACAGGAATATATTCCACTTCCTGTATATGTAGCTGCTACACCAGACTTTCAGAGAAACCTGTTTTTGGAGAGTATTGTAATAACTAAACTGCCATGGATTTATTTTTAATACACAATTGGCACTATCAGTTCTCATTCAGTTGTGTCGACAGATGGTGGGGACTGTTTAAGAGTAACCTAAGACATTTCACGGTGGGGTTAAAACAAAAAGAGGAAACAAACTGAATTAGGCGCCACACGTGATGGAAAGTTAAAAAAATTCTATGATTCTGCCTTACAACAAGATAGCTCAAGATCAGCAAAACATATCTGTGCCGTTGTTTGTATGTCTTGAAGTTGAAAATCCTGATACATTTTCCATGACAGTCACTTATTGGTATCATATGAACAGCAGAAGGACTTTCCCTCAGCAACGACATTGCATCTTAATTTAAACACAAAGTAATACAACGAGTGAATTAAAATATACACTACTATGAAAAGACAGCCAGAGCTCTTAGTTCAAAAACAAGGAATGGCCTGGATATAATGTAAACAGACACGACCGTCATCGGCCAGATCACAGACGATGACGAGACGGCGTACAGAGAGGAGGTCGAAAACCTGACATCTTGGTGCCAGGATAACAACCTCCATCTCAACATCAGCAAAACAAAGGAGCTGATTGTGGACTACAGGAAGCAGCAGGGAGAGGGACACGCCCCCATCGCCATCAATGGGACTACGGTGGAGAGAGTCAAAAGCTTCAGGTTCCTTGGGGTCCACATCACTGAGGACCTGACATGGTCTCTTCACACCACCACCATCACCAAGAAAGCTCGACAGCGGCTCTTCTTCCTCCGCAGGTTGAGGAGGTTCAAAATGGATTCCAGGATACTCTGCAACTTCTACAGGTGCACGATAGAGAGTATCCTCACTGGCAGCATGACGGCCTGGTACGGCAGCTGCACCGACCTCGATCGTAAGGCTTTACAGAGGGTGGTGAAAACTGCACAGCACATCACCAGGACGGAGCTGCCATCCATGGAGGACCTTTACTCCCAGCGGCTCAGGAAGAAATCACTACGGATTATCAAAGACCCCCATCACCCCAGCCACAAACTGTTCTTTCTGTTGCCGTCTGGCAGACGTTACCGCAGCATCCTGGCAAGGACAAGAAGATTCGGAGACAGTTTCTTCCCGCGGGCAGTGAGACTGTTAAAAAATTGAACTGTTGAAACAACATCAAACATTCATCTGCTACTCAGTAGTATGTATCTAATACCTAATATATATCATTCCAATAACTTGTATATAGACTCGTACTGCACTATTCCACATCATAACTTTATTTCATTTTTATAACTATTATTATTTTTGTGTTGCTCATGCTCTTATTGTTATTATGTTATGTTATTATGTTGCATTGTTGGAGAAGCCTGTGACATAAGATTTTCAACTGCATAATTACTCTGTAGCTATGTCAGATTGACAATAAAGAACCTTGAACCTTGAACCTATGTGCATTTTACCTACAGTATGTGCATAATGTAGAACTGTTATGCATGTAATGAGTAGCAGAGTGAACAACTTATTTTCCCTACTTCTCCTTTTTCCTCTTCTTCTTCTTCTTCTCCTTCTTAAATGGTTTATTCAGATATGTAATGTGATTAAAATAGTAAATAATAAAAATAACCACACAGTAGATTATGCAAATCAGAATCCCATTGGTGATCTTTATTGATTAAATGCTTAAACACCACTGATAAAAAGGCATGTATTTGTCTACCTCGTGTAAATCATAATTTGAGAGAGAAATAATTAAGACAACAAACAGACTTTAATTATTTCTTATGTGACTGAGTATTTTCATTGATTCATAATGTTAATCAAAACAATCCCATGATCTTCAGTTTATTAGATGTGTATTTCTGTCTATATAGCTTTAATGGCAATAAGCGTTTGTTGGGATCTGAGATGAAGACACTGTCTGCCTTGTTTTTAGTCGACCTCCTCGATGGTAGGGCCAGAGGAGGAGCCGCCTCCAGCTCCACCAGGGAAACCTCCAGGCATTCCTCCTGGCATCCCACCTGGCATCCCATCCTAGTATAGCTTGGAGATGATGGGGTTGCACACCTTTTCTAGTTCCTTCTGCTGATGATCGTACTCATCCTTCTCTGCCGTCTATGTAACAGAGGGAACAAAACATTTGTTGTCAGATATTACTTTTTAGATTTGTACATGGTTGTCTGCATGAACATTATCTGGAAGGGAAGTGATTGCTTCACAAAGTGCACGAACCACTGCTTTCACAATGCCAGCCAAAGAGGAACTTGTGAATCATGGTTCAGTCAACAGTATATACCTGATTTCTGTCGACCCAGGCAATGACTTCGTTGCACTTTTCTACGATGGTCTTTTTGTCCTCAGGGCTGATCTTGTCTTGGAGCTTCTCGTCCTCCACGGTGCTCTTCATGTTGAAGGCCAGAGACTCGAGTGAGTTCTTGGCTGTGACCTTTTCTCTCTGTATCTCGTCCTCAGCCTTGAACTGCTCAGCCTCCTGCACCATCTGCTCAATGTCCTCCTTGCTCAACCGCCCTATGGAGGAATACATTACAAAGCTATTTACCTTGCATGGAATCGTTTTTTATTCACCATGTTCAAGCGCAGTATTATTTCAGCTTTTGTGCTTTATCAGTGTTTAATATGGTTACCATACCTTTGTCATTGGTGATGGTGATCTTGTTCTCTTTTGCAGTGCTTTTGTCCACCGCAGACACATTTAGAATGCCATTGAGATCAATGTCAAAGGTAACTTCAATCTGAGGGACTTCTCTGGGAGAAGGTGGAATACCATTCAGCTCAAACTTGCCCAATATGTTATTGTCCTTGGCCATGGCTCTCTCACCTTCACAAACCTGAAACATTTAGATTCTGTCAGTGAACACTTTCAAGAGTAATGTAATAAACTGGGACAATGGATGGGGAACTGGTATTTGTTTAGACCATAACTGCAATGTCTCTCTACCTGAATAAGTACACCAGGCTGATTGTCTGAATTAGTGGTAAAGGTCTGGGCTTGCTTGGTGGGGACAGTGGTGTTCCTTTTGATAAGGACAGTCATTACTCCTCCAACGGTCTCAATTCCCAGGGACAGGGGTGTGACATCCAGCAGGAGCAGGTCCAGTCCATTCTCAGACTCATCACCAGCCATAATGGCTGCTTGCACAGCTGTTTCCAAATGACAACAGGAACAAATTAATATAAACCATGTAATCATGTTTGAACAACACATGTTATACTAAAATAGAAATATGACTGGACAATGTTTATAAATGTAAATGCTGTAGAGATACCCACATGCACCATAAGCCACAGCCTCATCCGGGTTGATGCTCTTATTCAGTTCACGTCCATCAAAAAGATCCTGCAGCAGCTTTTGAATCTTGGGTATACGAGTGGAGCCACCCACCAGGACAATGTCATGGATCTGTCCCTTGTCCATCTTGGCATCCCTCAGGGCCTTTTCCACGGGCTCGAGGGTTCCACGGAACAGGTCTGCGTTGAGCTCTTCAAAACATGCTCTGGTGATGGAAGTGTAGAAATCTGCTCCTTCGTAAAGGGATTCGATCTCAATGCTGGCCTGAGTGCTGCTGGACAAGGTGCGTTTGGCACGCTCGCAGGCTGTGCGCAGACGACGCACAGCTCGCTTGTTGTCGTTGATTTCTTTTTTGAACTTGCGCTTGAACTCAGCAATGAAGTGGTTAACCATGCGGTTGTCGAAGTCCTCACCACCCAAGTGAGTGTCACCGGCTGTGGACTTGACCTCAAAGATGCCATCCTCAATGATCAGGATTGACACATCAAAAGTACCACCTCCAAGGTCAAAGATAAGGACATTACGTTCACCGCCAAACTGAAATAAATGGCAAATATTATTAAAGGTATTCCATGAAAGAGATTAAGGTCCACATTTTATTATTTAGTTACCTTGTTGTCCAGGCCATAAGCAATGGCTGCAGCAGAGGGTTCATTGATGATGCGCACCACATTCAGGCCAGCAATGGTCCCAGCATCTTTGGTGGCTTGACGCTGGGAGTCATTGAAGTGAGAAGGAACTGTGATAACTGCATTATTCACAGCCTGTAAAGACAGGAGAACATTAAGTTAACAAAAAGCATATGTGTGTTTAAACTAGTGTACTTTTTACAATTCTGTCTGTGGTTTAAGACACTTAAAAATACTTTTTCTCACAATGTCTTGTGATTCAGAGGGAATTGCTTTGATTCTGAGGTTATGGGAACAAATGTTATTATTAAAAATGTTTCCTGACGGTCGAAGAATGTCACCTCTTATCTCCATACACTGGAGAATCGGTCATTTTGAGAAGAGGGTCATACACTTATTGTCATTTACCTCGCCGAGATAAGCCTCAGAGATTTCCTTCATCTTGGTGAGGACCATCGAGGAAACCACCTCGGGGAAGAAGCTCTTGATCTCCCCCTTGTATTCAACCTCCATCTTGGGCTTGGTTGCATCATTCACAACCTTGAAGGGCCAGTACTTCATATCTGACTGCACTACAGGATCGTCAAACTTACGACCGATCAGGCGCTTAGCATCTAAAGGACATTAAAGTGAAATACATCTCTGTAAGTCATATATTCATTGAGCATCAATGATTCTGAAGCTATTGCTTTGTTGGTGTTGCTGTCCTTACCAAATACAGTGTTGGTTGGGTTCATGGCCACCTGGTTCTTCGCGGCATCTCCAATCAGCCTCTCAGTGTCTGTGAAGGCCACATAGCTGGGTGTGGTCCTGTTTCCTTGGTCATTAGCAATGATCACCACTTTGCCATGCTGGAAGATGCCCACACAGGAATATGTGGTGCCCAGATCAATGCCAACTATTGGTCCTTTAGACATCTTCAATAAAAGAAAATAGATACAAGAAATGTGATGTGAAATGCGAGCCAGGCAATGTCTTCGTTGCACTTTTCTACGATGGTCTTTTTGTCCTCAGGGCTGATCTTGTCTTGGAGCTTCTCGTCCTCCACGGTGAAGGCCAGAGACTCGAGTGAGTTCTTGGCTGTGACCTTTTCTCTCTGTATCTCGTCCTTAGCCTTGAATTGCTCAGCCTCCTGCACCATCTGCTCAATGTCCTCCTTGCTCAACCGCCCTATGGAGGAATACATTACAAAGCTATTTACCTTGCATGGAATCGTTTTTTATTCACCATGTTCAAGCGCAGTATTATTTCAGCTTTTGTGCTTTATCAGTGTTTAATATGGTTACCTATACCTTTGTCATTGGTGATGGTGATCTTGTTCTCTTTTCCAGTGCTTTTGTCCACCGGAGACACATTTAGAATGCCATTGGCATCAATGTCAAAGGTGTCTTCAATCTGAGGGACTCCTCTGGGAGAAGGTGGAATACCGGTCAGCTCAAACTTGCCCAATATGTTATTGTCCTTGGTCATGGCTCTCTCACCTTCAAAAACCTGAAACATTTAGATTCTGTCAGTGAACACTTTCAAGAGTAATGTAATAAACTGGGACAATGGATGGGGAACTGGTATTTGTGAAACATGTGTTTCTATCCCTGTTACATAAGTCCAGATGCAGGCCACGTGAGGCTAGCAGGGATGTGGCACCCATTTTGTACGTAGTGGCCTAAACCATCTTCTGACACTGGAGACCCAATGACTGGACCATGTAACACTACCCTTTAATTCCCTCTCCAAACCCCTTCCCTCTCCACTCCCTGAGCCACAGTTAGGCTGGTGAAATGTGATGTACTGATCCTGGGATAGTGATCAGTGTGACTATATTCCAACAGCTGGCTCCAAATAGCTTACAGTAACTATAATTGGCATCAGTATATGGCAATGAATGAAAGGTCACTCGTGAACAGGTCATTAATCAGTGCCTAATATACAAGATTTGCCAGGTTTCCTTAAAAAATTATGTATACAACATAATACAATCAGAGAAGTACAGTCTTGAGGTGCAGTAAAGGCCCAGACACACCAGGCCGATATCGTCCGTCTTCGGTTGTCTGGCGACAAAGCGTGCCCTGTCGCCCAAAGTCAATTTGGTGTGTCCCGAACCCTCGGCCGTGACACGCCTTATTTGGCCTTTCACGGTCGACACACGGCCGATTCAACATGTTGAATCGGCCATTTGTCGGACACAAGCTATCGGGCCAAGAAACCACTCTGATCAGCTGTTCAGCTAGCAAATGAGAAGTGAAACGGAAGTGAGGGACGTAAACAAACGATTTAAGAAGGCACAGGACAGCAGCTAAACCCCAGCAGGTGATACTTAAAGACATCAAATATAGCCCTTAAATGTCCTCTCTTACCGCCCACACATAGCAGGGACATCTCTGATATCGGCGGGAGCGTCCCCGGCTGTCCTCTGCTGAGAGCTCCGTGATTTGTTTGGTCAAGTCCGGTTTTTCATCTCATCGGTTTATTTGTCAGTATAAAGTTGCAGTAGTCTCAAGTACCTCAACATTGTCCTTAAGTACAGTGTCTAAGTAAATGAGATACTGTCTACTGCTGTTCATTTACCTATTGTGAGTCGCCTCGGATAAAAGCATCACATGGAAATGTAAATTTAGCAAGAAGTGGCCATTATTACATTACATACATTACTACATTGCTGACTCAATAAACTACACACCCGCCAGAACACTGCGATCATCAGATGCAGGTCTATTAACTGAGATTTCATAGTATGTCTGCACTTTATGTGCTCATTTCATCATTCATGTATTTTTATATTCTAAAACATGTTTTCGATGGATGAGAGTGAAAATGGAACGCACACGCTATTTGTTGTTTGTTTAGATCAGTCTGTTCTTCTTCTCTGTCTTCCGGTTGTTGCCTATTTTGAATGACGAATACACACTACCGCCGCCTGCTGGTAAGGAGAGTTATTGCCACTCACGCATGCGCAGTTCGTACGTGCTCGGCTGAAGTCTTTGTGGTGTGTTCCAGTGCGACACATGGCCAAGACGCAGGAGAACTCGCCGATGCAACAGTCGATGTCGGCGAGTTCTCTGGTGACTGCCTGGTGTGTCAGGGCCTTAACTGTCACGACTGGAGGGCAAGGTACACAGGACCCAAATGCAGAATATCCAAATTCAAAATACTTTATTGCAAAACTAGCAACAAAGTAAAATAAGGCAAGGCAAAAACACAAAAATCCCTCTGAACAAAAAACTTCCAACAACATCAATAATCTCACAAAGACAGACAGAAAAACCAGAACTTAAATGCACACAAACTAATCAACTGAACAGGACACAGTGAGGGCACCAGGTGCACACAATCAGCAGTAACAGACAAGACGGGAGGGGGAACACAGAGACAGGAAACCAAAGACAGAACTAGACATGACAAAAACACAACACAGACAGATCGTGACAGGAACAACATGTTCAACACACTCTCACTCCATAAACGTCCAGGAGCGACGCTTGGTCAGGGTCCCGAGGCGTGCAGTTGGGACGCTCCTAGGCTCCTTCAGCTTCATAAACAGACGCAAATAGCTTTCAACTGATTGCAATGTATTCCCATCTGCGGCGGGATTTGACGCTCATGGAAGCACGGCATTCGTTTGTGTCGGAGGCTGTTAACCAGTTAAACCCCACGGGGGCAAAACGCAACATCTTGCAAGAAACAGCGTCTGAGGGCTTCTTAATATTTAACAAACTATGAATGTGTCATACCCACTTAATGGGAAGAAACTCAGCTATCAGACAATATTAACCGTTTTTAGCTAAACGAAACAAAAGGGTAATAACAAAGGCTCTGAATTAGCCCTGAGCGAAGAAATGCTAACGCACTTAGCACAGAACTCAAGGTAAAATACCCTTATTACTTATCGGATCTGCACAAAAAAGATATCGATTAGCAAGCTGAGATTCCACAGATTCCAGACATATAAGTATCATCAGAACTCGCGGCCAAACTACAAGAAACAACAACAAAGAAATGTGCTTTACGGAGCCAAAACGGCTAAAAACGTCTTACCTTAGCTGTTGTTCTGTTCAATGGCATTAAAACGAGAAAAACGCTGCTGAAGGTTAATCCATCATCATATTTATGGCAATAAACATAGTTTTCTATAGAGTGTAACATAGCTTTCGGTTTGGGCAAACTGCGTGCGCATCACTCTCAATCCTCATTGGTAATGTTTTTTTTTCGCTGGCTGAGAGAGGACGCTGGCGTAGACTGTTCGCCGCTTCTCCAGCTGCACCTAGTAGTGTTTTTGTTTGTTTGTCTGTTTGTCGTTCTTTTGCCGGCTCTAACTGTTGGCCTCTTACTCAGCCGTGTATCTCATATCTTCACGTTTTATGTGAACACGTCTTTACACCCAATTCCTCTGATCTCTTACCTGTATGCAGCAGCTGCTACACCAGCTCCTGTAGCTAGCTGTAGCAGTTAGCTGTAGCAGCTACTCCGGCTCCAGGCTAGGTGATCTCTGCTTTCTTGTCATCTCCCGACGGATTGCTCTGTCCTGCCTTCCCTGCGTGCCCCGACTCTGGACTACCCGTCGCCGACCTTCGATCACTCATTGCCGACTCTACCCTGTGCCATCATTACCACTGAGTGCTCGACAAACCCACGGCCGCCACTGCACAACTGGTTACTCTCAATAGTTGTATCATGCAACCTCTATGCTTAGCAGTCATCAACAAGCTTGGGCTGTTACGTAGCAGACCCCAGTACATCCATAGAGGCTCCCAGGCATAGGTTTGTTGTCGCTGGGTCGGAGCCTCTCTCCAGCTGGTCCTGCACGTGCACCGTCCCTGGCTGACGGGTGATCCAGATATGTTCTGTGGAGGGTAGCCGAGGCCCCAGCCGAAGAGATGCAGATCCACATTGCTCCTTGGTGACTTTAACATCCATGTCGACTCCAGTACATGCCCCTTCGCCTCTGAATTTCTCTCACTTCTCGACTGCTTCAACATCACACAGCACGTCCAAGGTCCCACCCACACCAAAGGTCACACGCTGGACCTAGTGTGCTCTATAGGCACCCCTCCCTCCCATCTCCAGTGCCTGGACCTAGCTGTTGCCGACCACCTTGCCATACTCTTTACTGTTCCTGTCCCTCTGCTCACTCAGCGTGCCAAACGCACCATCACATTCAGGAACACCAAAACACTGAGTGCACCAGCCCTGACCAGCACGATAGCAGCCCACCTAGCCTCCATTCCCCTTACCACCACAGTGGATGGCCTGGTTGCTTGCTACAACTCAGCTCTATCCCTCAGCCTTGACTCTCTAGCCCCCCTCAAAACCCGGACTGTCTCCTTCACCCGTTCGGCCCCTTGGTTCACCACTGAACTCCGCGCCCTGAAGGCTTCTGGTCGTCGGCTAGAGAGACTCAAAACAAGAACTGGCCTCACCGTCCACCGCAAAGCATACCAGGACCATGTAAAGGCCTACAAAGAAGCCCTCTCCCTGGCTAGGTCTTCGTACTACTCCACTCTCATTGGCATCCAACAATCCCAACCGAGAATGCTGTTCTCAACCATAAACCGGCTTCTCCGCCCCCTGGACCCACCCCATCCTCCAGGTGCTCTCGATCTCTGCTCGAAGTTTCTGGATTTCTTCCAGGCCAAAGTTGATTCCATCCATCAGCATCTTCTGGTGCCTGGCCCCCCCCTACTCCAATCACACCCCAGCTGCAAGGTATTAATCGTCCACCTAGGTGTTGCCTCTCCACCTTCTCCCCGGTGGATGTCATCCAAATTGCCAAGCTGGTCACTAAAGCCAAGACAAGACCTGCTCTCTCGACCCCATGTCCACAGCCTTGGTCAAGGCAGCTCTATCCACCATCTGCCCCATCATTGTTGACATTGTGAACTTGTCCCTGTCTTCTGGCACAGTCCCACCCTGCCTCAAAACTGCCTCAGTCTCTCCAATCCTGAAGAAGCCTGGCTTGGACCCGGAGGACCTCAACAACCACCGGCCGATCTCAAACCTCCCATTCCTGAGCAAGATCTTGGGAAGAGCAGTTACCGCACAACTGCAACACCACATGACATTTCATGAGCTCTACGAACCCCTCCAGTCTGGCTTCAGACCCCATCACAGTACTGAGACTGCCCTCATTAAAATCACTAATGACCTCCTCATCGCATCTGATTCTGGCCTCATCAGTATTCTCATCCTCCTGGACCTCTCCGCTGCCTTTGACACAATATCCCATAGCATCCTCCTCAGCCGCCTGTCAGACTACCTTGGCCTCAGTCACACAGCTCTTGCCTGGTTCGAGTCCTACCTCTCTAACAGGACTCACTTAGTTTCCAACAGTGACTGCAGCTCCCCTCTGGCCCCAGTTAACCAAGGTGTACCTCAAGGCTCTGTGCTTGGACCCCTCCTATTCACCATCTACATGCTCCCACTTGGTCAAATCATCCGCCAACATGGTCTCAGCTTCCACTCGTATGCCGATGACACACAGCTCTGTTTCTGCACCA